ACCTTGTGAAATGCCTTCGAAAATCAACGAAAACACGTCCAGTGCGTGGCCGTTTTCAATGACATCAGCCCAACATTCGCGATCCACCAGTAGATTCGTCAGACACGAAAATCGATTCCGGGATCCGTGTTGTACATTGCTAACTAGATTAAATCTACTCAGATGACTCTCCTATGAATCTCTCACAAGTTTTCGAGGAGTTTGACTACTACACTCATCAGACTACCTGGTCTGTACTTTGCAGCTAGACTGTTGTCCCCGGCTGGAAGATGGGACAGATGAAAACTTTCTTGCATTCGGAAGGCAATGCACAGCTGTCAAGCGATTTCTGAAACACCACAGCAAGCGGTCCACTTAGCTCTGCAGCCAACTCATGCAACAGTTTCGGGTGAATTAAATCAGGCCCAGAGGCCTTAGAGGGGTTCAGCCCTCGCAGTAGGCTACGAACTTCCGTCTCCACTAAAATAAATTCAGATAGACCTGAACCATCTGGGATCCTGCAAACCTGCTCAATGCCTGTCAAAGATATTTCCCTTACAATGCTGCTGCATATTGCCCACTAAGTACGCAGGTCTTGTCATCGTTCGTATGAGCATAAATACCGTCATCACGCATCATCGGTGAGGTGCGTTGATCTCCTGAGGAGACAGGGTAAAGCTTCCGACGGTTATACTTATACCCATGCATGGCGCACTGTTATTGGCTCCCTGCCGAGAAGTAATTGCTTAACTCAAAAAGCCGATTGATGGTACCGGCTAGATAGTTTGACAGTCCACACTAAATACACAGAAAAACAGCCCTAAAGATAAATTACCTGCATGATGACTAACCTGTTTTAAAAGCCACATCGGCACCCGGCCAGATGGGGCATGGAAATACGGGTGAAATTATCAGGGGAATAACTCGCATGGAAGCAGGTCCCCAGGAGACGGTTGCATGGATTACCATAGTATTTCACTGGTACATCTCTATTTATATCCATATCTATCTATCTATCTATCTATCTATCTATCTATCTATCTATCTATCTATCTATCTATCTATCTATCTATCTATCTATCTATCTATCTATCTATCTATCTATCTATCTATCTATCTATCTATCTATCTATCTATCTATCTATCTATCTATCTATCTATCTATCTAACTAACTATCTATTTTTTTGACAGCCCCTCATTCTTCACGAAAGATTCACCTGAGCAATTAGTCATGCACGCGATTGCGCTGCACAGAATGGTCACACCACGCAGTTGGACAGTGCCGCCCACCGTAAAGGAATATGCCGTTTTTATTCTTCACCACAGCATAGTACATATATATATATATATATATATATATATATATGATGAGGCTGCTTCTTCATCGCAATTGGGCTAAACCAATTTACACTTAAACTAGGTCTTTTTAAGCTGGATAAATTTCATTCCACTTTATTTGGTTTGTTCTGCTTACCTGAATAATCTTCTATTATCCCGCCACGTTGCTTACGCTAATTACGCTTCTTCGATAACTATGTTGTGATTGCAGAAATTTTAAGTAACTTGCGGACATTTCTTACTTATCGCGGATTCATTGCTAACCAACTTACTTCATATGCTAATTTAACGAAGAGTTATGCCACCGTGTCTGTATGCATTATGTGGATTTATTTTATTTCAGCATGTCGTTTCAAGCGAATGGCTGTTGCTTGATATCCCCGGTGTGGCTGCGCTTGATGTGCATGTTGACAAGGTGCCTACCTGTCTATTACCTACTACCTCGTTCATACTGGCTCCAGGCGACACTTGGTCGTTGCTGGAGGGGACGGGGTGCACGGTCCTTGTGGCCGTGCTAGGCTCGAAGAGTGGTTCCATGCATTCAGTGTGGAGCGGACTACGGTCTAGCCACCACCTTGGGTGTGTTTGATTCCCAAATATATATATATATATATATATGATAGCTTTTGTGCTATTAGCAGACATATATATATATATATATATATATATATATATATATATATATATATATTTGCAAATGGAACAGAAGTATATCTGTTTATTATTATTGGTAAATGAACCAGTTTTGTCTCTGTTCCACATACCTCCTGGCTTTACACCTTTGAATTCATGAGGAATTTGAAGTTGGAACTCTGGGTGGCCATGATCTCTGTATGTACACAGGTCCAATGGTCGCTTGAAGTGACAGGTAAGTTTGTAAGCAGGTGCTTCGCCGTGCCTAAACTCCGTCTCTGCGCTCACTTCCCTCGCGTATACTTGCGGTATGTTTCACAATGGTTAGCATGCTTCCACACCGCTGTGAGAGATAAAGCGATAACAGCGCCCGCGTGTGAGTGTGTGCATGTTGTTTCCAGGGCCACCGTATCAATTCATTAAACACTGACCAATATTTTATTGACATCACAGAACGATCAGTAAGGTGTCATAGAGTCAACATCCACACCTGGATCAATAGAGCACCAGTCATTGATGGCAATGAAAACACTTACTTCCATTAGAGTGAGTCATACCCAGCCCACTATTTTGACCACACTTAGTATGCATGCCTCGGGCAGTACGACATAATTTAGCGGTTCACTGGAAACAAATCAGTCAGAGCTAAACTTTCACCAACTTCGAGTTCACCTTGAGGGTCCTTAGTGGGTTTTGTCACCATGTCTGCTAATAGCACAAAAGCTGTCATCCATCTGCTAGGGTAGTGCATGCGATCTCTAATTCGCGTGTGCCCCGCGTGCCTTTGCTCCGGAACGCACCCGACATGGGCTTGGCGGACGTCGCGTTTCAAGCCCCCATGGGTTGGGATGGCTGTCATCTGACTGCTCCTGTTGACGTTGCGTTGGGGAAGTGAGAGAAGCTAGCCCCAGTCCACCCGATTCGTAGTAAATGTTTGGAAAATCAAATAGGTGAACGCGTTTTGCGATGTGATATGAGGCTTCTATTCTGGTCTCTTGATTAAGGGTGTAAAAGTAACTACTGGGTCAGTAATACATCTATCTCGGTACAGTGGGACTTGACGACTAGTTGTTAGCACCATTATAATCAGCCACCTGAATTTCTTCAGCAAACGCATCCCAAATCTTCCTTGATGCAAGCGATCTCATCTATAGTGCGCTGTCCGAATATGTAATAGGCTTCTCGACCAGACAGATGTAGAAGACTTCGTATGTTTTCACACGTGCTCATTGAATGTCAATAGTACCATAATTATCACGTTTTTTGACTGATCAAAATTTAATCAAGAACTGGTTGGTAAATTGCTTCAGGAATATTAATTCCGTAATTTTTTGATATCTGATGTTTTATACCTATCCAGTTGTAATATTCCATTCCATTAGGTATCGCTGTCCGTGGTGTGTACGCGTGGTGCAACCGAATATTTGGAAACTACACTAGCCTTCGAGAAACCTGTGTTCCACTTAGTTGCATTCGTTCTCTCAACACATGCAACTTCTCAGTCTTACAGCAGTACATTTCAACACTGCATTTATCCCACTATGTAGGGCATACTTCATCAGTGCATTTTGTGCCCTCATTTCAGGAGATTCTGTATTATATCCGACCCAACGTTCGTCGCAGGACGATGACCGTCTCAGGTTCCAGTTCGAACAACGTGATTCAGTTGGCACCTCAGATAGTGTTGTGCAAGGGGACCTCGATGCCACTATACCCTCCGGTGAACCGGATGAGTACAATCTGGTGGACGAAGCTGCGAGGCAGTGGCATAGTTCCGAATACGGCGACGCTCCTCCCGATGAGCATGCCGGTACAACTGTGGGGAGTAGTCGAACACTCCCCAAGGTACCCAGAGGGCCTTCAAAACTGGACGACGAAGCTTCGGAGAATTCTGGAGAACCAGGTGACTTTAAAACCATGCTATTATGATTAACTTTTCCTAGTTTAAATGTACTTGAAATGGGACTAGTTCTTATACTCTTGTCATCAATTCTAAGTACCACGTAGTGGTACGTGAGATTCTCCCACTATTTACATCATCTCATGCCCATCTTAGTCACTGTTATTACCTGGGCCACACATGCAACAATAATTTTGAGAGAAATCTTACAATAGCTTCTCTGACAATGGGAGTTAGCTAGAGTCTCTGGGTGGCTGTTTCCAAACGTAAGTGAACTACACCCATCTTCAGCACGAAAAGGTGGGTCAAACCTATCACCATTAGATAACAGGACTGCTTTTTTTCAAATCTACAGGCAATGTGAGCTGGAAGTTTCATGCTTGCCATACTGTGGTCCCCGTCAGTGGGCCGATCCCACTTAACACCAGTCAGGTTTCTAGCCACTTTGGAATTATGGCCCACAGTGCCGCAGGTAAATTTGTGCAGAGGGGGTGATCAAACTGCTTTTATTTGCTATGAGTATTAACCACCACAACTGTTTATTTGGTTTTGCCTGTACTATCGCACTCCCATAACCATCACTCTTAATTACTCTATCGATCTGCCCATACGTATTTTCTTTGGTCCACTTATGTAAGGTTTAAAACTCAGTTGCTTCTATTACCAACCTACGGGACATGTCAAGCCTGTGCGCTTTTTACCCATTATGAACCATTGTTCCATAATGTTTAGTATATCACGGAAATGGTAGGACTAGGAATTCGTAGTGAAACCTGAGCATGCGCATGCAGATGATCTCACCGTGATTTTCAGACCAGGTTGCTGTACATTCTGCAATCCAGACTCCGTGAAGCGAACTGCTCAACAATCAATGGGCAAAAATGTATTGCTTGACAAATCCCGTAGGATGGCCGTAGTGGTGAGTATAAAATGATTTAAAGCAGTTAGTTCCCTTCAACAATTTGAAAAGCACGGAAAGAAGACGAAGGCTGGTAGATGCATGCATTTCGTATTGGATGATGAGCTAGTGTTAATTACAGCAACACTAATGGCGAATGGCTACCCTCGAAGATTTATCGAGAAACACAGCCGACCGCGAGGGCCAAAGGACTTGGTGCACAAGGCAGCCAAGAAAGCATATTGAGAAATAATTCCCGGAGATGACATCAGAAACAGAAAGTAGTGAACAAGTTTGTTTTCAGGGCTTCATCATCAGGCTAATACAACCACAACAAAGCAAGTTAGAAAAGACACGATGGGTTTAAATTAGGACACTGAAGCAGAGTAACTAATCGATAAGTCTACGTGCTTGGTCTGATTGGTCAAGTGAAGTGGCGTGACTGCCATTGTTAGTCACGTTGATCTGAGGCCAAGGCAAGGTTAAAGTATGGACGAGCTTTTTCTGTGCACATAGGTCCGGGTTATAGAGCCATATTGCGATCGCCTCTGCTATCGACAGCAGGCGACATCTGACTGCCCGTGTGTAACGTCCGGGGACACAGTAGATCGGTGTGAATACGTCACGCGAATCGATTTGATTTGATTTCCCTTGCTCGTGTCAAGCAAGGTATATTGGAAAAACGACCAGGCGACTGTCCGTTAGGGCTCAGCTTGACTCTATAGCGGCGCGAAGAAGAATGCAACGACTGCAGTATTGTCGCACCTCATCATCATCATCATCATTACACGTTAGCTGGAGGTGGAAAACACCTCAGCTATTGTGCCGCAATACAAAAGATAAGAAAAGGAAAACAAACGGTGGCACGCCCGCTGAGTCCCCAGTAACGGATGGACATCATTCCGCAGAGCTAACAGCTGGCTGCCGTAAAAGAGAGTCATATTATACCTATCAAGTGAGATCATGATTGGAGGGGGATGTTAAGCAGGAGGAGGATGGACAAAGGAACTCACAACACAAACGCCATTGGGGCCGGCTCTTCGCCATATCAGCAAGTGTGTCCAACCAAACGTGTTCACCGTCCTTAGGACCCCAGCCAGGCAATCGGGATGCACCAACCGACGCCAACTTCGAAGTGAGGGTTTTCATTTCTCTCGACCAAGTCATCACTTGGCCTCCCCTCCTCCTCTTCCAACCGCACCCACAACGTGCAAACAATGCACGTCGCGGGAGTCGGTGTGTTGGCATGCGCAACACGTGGCCCAACCATCGGAGCCTGGTGCATGATATAATGGTGCTGAACGGTTCACTCGCTCTTCCTGCACCAAATACGCGACGTCGAACACGCTCATTGCTCACGCGGTGCTCCCACCAGACATGAGCTAAGCTGCGAAGGCAGCGATGATCGAATATGACGAGCCTCTTTATGTCTGTCGACCTGATGGGCCAAGTTTCACAGCCATATAGGAGAGTTGAACGGACGGCTGCGTTGTAAACTCTGCCCTTCAGGGCGAGAGCAATGTCGCGTCTGCGCCACAGGTGGCGGAGATTGGCAAAAGCACCTCGAGCTTTTGCTATACGGTTCGTAACCTCATCTTCAGTCCCACGGGTGCTAATATAGTTGCCCAGGTACTTGAATTCCTGAACGACTTCTAGCAGATCACCAACAAGCGTTAGCGCAGGGTTGAGTCCCTTCCAATCTTGGAGAAGTACTTTGCATTTCGATGGAGCAAAGCATAGCCCAAAACCATTGACAACCAGTGCTAATCGGTTCAGTGCTGTTTGGCATGTTTGGGAGCCGTCACAGATTAGGGCAATATCGTCTGCATACTCCAAGTCAAGAAGTCGCTCACCAGGGAGTAGCTCCACACCTTCTAGGTCGTGTCCAGCGAACGCTGTTTCCATGACTTCATCAATAGCGAAGTTGAAGAGGAAAGGTGACAGCGGGCATCCTTGTCTCACACCGCTGGTGATATTGAAGGGTGGCGAGAGTTTGCCATAAACCCTCACCCTGCCCGAACTATGTGCGTACAGCGCTTTGATAATGTTTACATATTTATCAGGCACACCTTTCCTCAACAGACAGTCCCAAAGGGCACATCGATCGACTGAGTCGAAGGCACCTTTTATGTCAAGAAACACGACAACGGTGGGTCGCCAATAAACATGGCGGTGCTCCAACACTTGACGCAATGTGAAGATGTGGTCGATGCAGCCCCGACCTCGACGAAATCCGACTTGCTCTTCACGAATTTGGCTTTCACGAGTGCCAGTCAGTCTGTGGAGAATGAGAGAGGCAAGCAATTTAGAGGCAATCGAAATCAGACTGATCCCTCTATGATTGCCACATATCAAACGGGAGCCTCCCTTGAAAATTGGGACAATGACGGAGCGGTTCCAGTCTGTCGGGACTGTCTCCTGCTCCCAAAGTTTTACTAGCAACTCGTGTAGATCACCTATTAGAGCAGGTCCACCGAACTTGAAGAGGGCTGGAGGAACAGTATCTGCTCCTGCGGCCTCATGCAATTTCAACAGCCTGATCTCACGTTCGACTTCTGCGCGTGAGGGCGGATCCAAGGAGACGGCCCAAGGAGAAGGGCGCTCAATGCCCGAAGAAAGTGATAACTCAGGTTGGTTAAATTGCATAGCAAAGTGTTCAGCCCAACGCTCCAAGCGTTTTGACAGGCTGTGGATCATCTGCCCACTCTCGTCGCGTATGGTCTCGCTAACACCAGGTCTCCTGCTGCCTGTTTCCCGTATCAGACGGAATAACTTACGATGATTACCCACGGCAGCGGCTGTTTCCATCTCAGAGGCACGATGAGACCACCAGGTTTCGCGGTCCTTCCTAAGGCTAGCACGTAGTTTTGCCCTGACATTTTTGCGAGCCTCATTGTATTCGCTTCCAGCCGGAATACGTCGGCGAGCATCCATAAGTTCCATAGACTGTGTAGAGACCCAATGTCCGGTTTGGCAATTTGCTTTGCCACATGAAGACATGCCTGCTGACAGTAACGTTTGACGAATATGCGACCAGTGATCTTCAACGGTGTTTAGTGGGCGCTTGCTCAGCCCAGATGTCAGCGCACTATGGTATACATTCAGAACATCTGGCTTCGCCAGCTGGCTGGTGTCAATCCGTTCAGATCGACGTTGCGGGCGTCCACCGAAACGCACCCGGAGGTCGGCACATACAAGTGCGTGGTCAGAGTCCACGCTCGTGCTCCAAATCGAGCGACAGTTTTGGACACAGCCTCTCCAGCGGTAACTGATCGCGATATGATCGATTTGTGTCCATGGTTGGCCCGAGGCTGATGGCCGCCAGGTCACGCTTCTGCGGGTGCTGTGTCGAAAGTTAGTGCTCGCGAGAAAGAGGTGAGCATCTTCACACAGCTGTAGCAATCGCTCACCATTATCATTACGCGAGCCTACACCATGTTGGCCGCCCAGATGAAGCTCATCAGAGGACAACTTTCCGACTTGGGCGTTTAGATCACCAGCCAACACCACAGTATCCGTGCTTCTTCTGTAACGAAGAAGCTCGTGCAGTTGCTGATAGAAATCATCTTTTACCGAATCAGTGCTACAGTTTGTAGGGGCGTAAGCCGCAATGACAAACAGGCACCGTTTGTCCCCACGCGACTTCGTAGCACGGAACGAACCAGCTAATCTAACGGCGCACATCCTACTGTTTACTGGGATCCAATCAATCAGGGGAGCTTCAGCCCGGGGCTCAAAACAATGCCGACGCCAGCTTGACCGGCATTTGAAGCTGCATCATCGTCAGACAGGCGCAATGAGAATGTGCCGCCAGTGTCGCATGTGGGGGATCTCAGGGTAAGCACGGAGCTGGAATCTTGCAGGCGGGTTTTTGATAAACAGCAAATATCCATCGACAGGGTCTCTAGTGTGCGGGCAAGTGTTGCCTGTTGGCCAATCTGCAGCAAGGTGCGCACGTTGAGGCATGCCAATCTTAGCGATACACGAGGACTCCAAAGGGAAACGGATGAACTGACGTTGTCCGCTTGGTTGAACATGGACTTGTCGACTGGATTGGAGCGAGGCACTGCGATTGTGTGTGATTTGAAATTAGAAGACAAGCGCC